CATTGTAGGTAAAACAGCTCCCTGTAGCATATTTAAAATTCACTGCATGGCCAGGACAGGGAAGCAAGCCTAACACAAGAGAAACTAGGAGATTTGAGGATATTTCTAATCTTTGGGAAGCAGGAAAAAAAGATGAAAGGCTCTGACACCAAGCAGAAGAGGAATAATTTCAGGAACTTGAGATGCTAAAAGATTGGGAAAAGGAAGGTTCAGAGTGGAGTCTTTATAAATTCTGTTCTTGTAGTTCTCAAGGGTAGGCCAGGGGACAGGGTCAGGCTTTTCCTGAGAAACCCCTGAGGGACATGGTTGAGCATGAAGGCTAGTGGGAGGAAACTTCATCCCATTGTGGAGAAGCCCCTCCTTGGACTGGTTCTGCAGAAGTGCCACTCAGACGGATGTTTACTCTTAAAGGAGTGAAGGAGTGAGCTCTCTGTCCCCAGGGCTATGCAGGCAGATGTGGGCCACCTCCCACCAAGCATGAGGGTAGTTGAGCAGGCATGGAGTGAGCAAAAAGAAGGCTTGAGCTAGATGACTCGATGAGTCCTTTGACCCTAAAGTCTAGGATTTTATGACAATGTCAGTGAACCTACTGGTACAACAGAATATCTAAATAGGAAATACCTGAGCCCTGGAAGTTGAAAGAATAATTCCTGGGGAAAAGACAGAGAAAGAAGAGGACGCCTAAAGGAAAACCAGAGTGGCTGAACAGTGGTGCAGAGGTAACACACCACTCTGCAAGGCTGTCTCACATGGGGAGGTTCACAGTTCACATCCTGAGACCTTGAGAACGCAAATGTGTGCATGCCCATGATCCAGGGCTGGCTAGAGGTGGATGTGGATCATGGTATCAAGACCCTGTTGGGGGGATGTCACACACACACACTCTCTTTCACTCATGGAAGAAATAAATGTTTAAAAAAATAAAAAATTAAAGGGAACCCAAGGAAAATGATATTGGCCTGAGCCTTAAACCAGGAGAAAAACTCTGCAGGTAACCATAAGGAAGACTGGAGGAAAAGGGTGTGGTGAGCCCTGGCAGCCTGGGCCATCCAATAAAGCTCGAACCTGGACGTGCAGGTTGGAGACTGGGCCATGAAGAGGGGATCTGGCCAGGCTCAGAGGAGGAGGGACTTCATCCTGAGAGCAGGGGAGCCTCTTGGGGAGTATTGAGACATCAGATTTGCATTCTAGAGGGGTCGCTCAGGCTAACTGTTGGAAAACAAATGGAGGTGGAAAGATGGAAATCCAAGACAGGAAGAGATGACACAGGCCCAAGCTGAGGCTGTCCCCATGGAGATGCGGTGGAGGCAGGCCAGTCAGGAGAAGGGACGCATGGAGAGAGCCACACAGCCGTGCGGACGCAGCAAACATCTGGACCAGCCGCCTTTCCCATCAGGGAAGCCCCCAGGAGGAGCAATTTACTAGTTCATTGGCATATAACATTATTTTTGCACTAGGTTTATAGTCAGAATGTTCTACTGAGACCTGAAGCTCTATTTCATTGCCAAAGCACTTGTGTTTCCATTATGGCCAAGGGGAAGAACAGTCAGCAGCTGTCAATTAAGTATGGGTCTCATTTACACCTGTTTGTTAAACTTCAAGGCACTTGCATTAATATTCACTGTCTTAATTGGTAACAATAAAGGCTCAGACGTTTGAGACTTAGTGGTAAATAAGAAGCCGTTAACTTTGCACTTTGAGCTGTACATGCAGCCCTTTCCAGGGGCTTCAGTAATTCAGGAACATTTGAATGGCCCGGCCTCCATGCAGTGATCTGTCTGCCGCCTGCAACTTTGTCCAGCCCTTGTGCCCGTCCTTTCAAAGCAGCTCTGATTGGAGTTGCCAGTGGCACAAAGCCACAGCAGTGGGGCCAAGAGGAAGTTGTTTAAGTGGGTTGTCCTCCTCCTGTTAACCTGCCTGCTTTTTATGGAGCCAGACTGCCCTAATGGAAGACCCTTCAGGTTGAGGTTAGGGCTGGAAACCACAATTCATCCTTGCCAAGGAGAAGGAACCAAGTGCAGAGAGAAATGCAGAGAGCCAGAGGAACTCACAGCAAGGTGTGATGTTTTTTGAGCACAGTTGTTGTGTTCTGAGAGGGAGGAATGCCTGGGTTTGGAGTCAGGAAACTAAACAGAATCCCAGATCTGCCGTTTCCTACCCACATCTCCCAGCACCTCCATTTCCCATCTGTAGAGAGGGCATGATCCATACCCCTGTGAGAGTTCCCATTCATTTAAGCCCCTGCTCATTCAGCACATCTTTTTGAGCACCTACTCAGCAGGTCTCATTGGGGAGCTGCCCCCATGCTGGCACCTTGGAGGTGCTAAGGGAAGGCTGGTGTCCTGTCTTTCTAGGGCCCTTTCTCCTGGGCCATTCTTGCCACTCAGGTTACACCGTAGGTCTGCAAACCGTGGTTTCTCCGTGTCATGATGTGGGCTGGGTCAGATATGTATGCAAGGCCTGCCGAGAGCCCTCAGGCCACAGGTGGAAGCCTTTGTGACAGGAGGAGGCTGGGAAGTTTGTGCTTCCAGCTTTCCTAAAATCATGATTCAGTCTGAGACAAGCAGTGTTTACCTGGGTGCACTGTCACAGTTCCAGCTTGCAATCCAAATCAATACCCACCGCATCCCCACAACACAAACAGAGGGTCCCAGTGCAGAATCGGTTGGGGACACATGGCAATAGTGTCTCGTCTTCAGCCCTTGGGAGGCCTTTCTGACCTCCTCTCTCTGAGAATCTGGATGTTCAGCCCATTGCCAGCTGTTGGAACTGCTTTGTCATTAGAGAAACTTGTCTCACCCCAGCCTCCTTGATCCTGGCTTTAAGGCCACACACAGGACGGGAGAGACAATTCAGAGCCAAGAAGGGCAGAAGGTTGTATCAGAGCCCCACCGACATCCTATAAAACCGGGACCTCAAAGGCTGCACTTTATAAGGACTATCCTAGGGGTCGTCGTCTCCCTACAAGGGAGACCTGAGGGCTCCTCATATGTCTGCCTCAGCTCCAGAGGGGAAGAAAACTTGTCTCCCTAGAGCATTCCCAAGCACAGCCACCTTTCCGTGGTCATGGAGCCACATTCCACACCAAGCTGAGCTGGAGCTAGCCTTACCAGCCTTCCCTGTGACCTCCGCCTGCCCGGCCATGGCTGCCTCAAGGCCCTGGCTCTCCCTCCTTTGTGTGCCCTGACCTCTCCACGTTCTTGTCCCCGATGATCCTCCATGTGTTCTGAGTCCAAGGGTTTAGACCCTAAGGTCTGAAAGTAGCTGTCAACATACATGCTGATGTGCTCCCTTGGGAGCTGAGGTTGGGGAATTCATTCCCTTCTGTGCTTTCAGGAGCCCCCGAGGGGTGTGGCAGAGTGAGGGCGTCCCTGGGCACCTCCCTTTAGGACTAGGTGACTCCACTGACCCACGTTCAGGTTGCCCTCCCCTGAATACCCCCTGCGGCCAGTGTGACACTGGTACAGGCTGTAGGACAGCCTCCTTCCCTTCCTGAGAAGCAGATCCTGCCTGTGCCTCTCCAGCTGGCTGGCACCATCATGTGGGGGAGTCACTACTCCATTTGCTGACTTGACCCTCAACAGGAAGAACTAACAACACAGGTGTCACTAGCTGCTTCCTGCCTCCAGGACACTGCTGAGGGGGGAGACAAAGTGTCACCTGAAGACCAGCTTGCAGCCTCTGTTAATTTCTTCTTAAAAAGTTTCCCATTTTAAGGCAAGGAAAGCATGATGACGACCTGAGGAGCACACCAAGGGGCTTCATGGTCATAGCTGTTCCCTGGACTCTCACCACGCGGTGGGCACCAGCACCTGGCTTAGGGAACCTCAGTGCTCAGCCATCTTGACAGGCAGCTGCCCTCTCACTGCAGTCAGGTTGGCCACCCAGATGCAAGCCGTGTCTCACCCACTCACATATTCGTCTTTGCTTTCTGCCACGTTCCCAGCACTCACTCTCATTTTTCAGGGAAGGACGGGGTCAGCAAAAGAAGCCTCTGTGGGGAGCAGCTCAGCTTGGGCAAGGCGCTACTCTCATTGTGGGCGGCCACAAAATTGTAATGAGGGCTGCCCCAGCCGCGCATCGGAGCACACACCAAGGAATTGCAGCTGTGCTTGTGCTAAGACAGGGGAGGAGGGTGGCCACCTTTCCATCAACCCAGGGAGGTGGGTGTCTCATGGCAGCCACAGCGTTTTGCCTGGGGTCCCAGATCTAGAAACAACATTGCTGGTAGAAGCGTGTGCAGGAAGACATAGGAGCACCAAAACATGTGCTCCCTCGACACTGGCCTTACTCAGCTGCCAGCAGTGGGCTAGATTAGTTACCTATCCACTCCAGAAACAGCTATATCCAGCTGCACTGGGCGTCAGTCTCAGTGCTCCCTCCTTTGTCTGCACTTGGGCCTGTTTTTATTTTGAATTCTTCCGTTTATGCACATTTAACTGCATGAGACACTTCAACTCTGTGTTGGGTGTGCACATGTAAATCCCAAATACATATGTAATCAGATCAGTCTCCAGTTGCAGTGGGCCAGCCCTGTAACACAGTGGTGAAGCGCAGCACATCAGAAGCTATATCCCGCACGGCCAGCTGAGGTTCAAGTCCTGGGCCTGGTGACTTGAGAGACAAAACAGGCATGTGACATGTGTGTCCAGGATCTTGATGAACTGCAGATAAGAGGAAAAAGGATTATGGTGTGACCATTCCCCATATATACTTCCTCTCTCTGATCTCTCCCTGACCAGTTCACGCGCTCTCTAACAATGGTAGAAAAGACAAATTTTACTAAGGTGCACAGAAGTAACCAAGTCAGGCCAAACGTGACAAAAGGCAGTGACTCCCAAGGGGTAGGCCGCAGGCTGACTTTATACATGAACTTAGAAATGCAAGTGAGGTGCTCTGGAGAAATTATAACCGAGGATGACATCAAGGGGCGGCTGGCTCCCTTACTCTGTGAGCCGTGGGCCTTCAATGACACATTCTCTGCTCTGAGTGACTGAATGCCCACCTGAGATCCCCGAAGGCTCCTGGAGAGCCCTCTGCCCAGCCCTGGTTTCTGGAACACTCCATGGACAAGGTTACAAATCAGGGTGGTAAGGCTGCCTCAGCCACTTCTAGAACAGCTTCTCCACAGAGCAAGGGATGTTTATCCTATTCAGAGAGACTAGGAAATAAGTCAAAATACACCTTATTCCTGGTACAGTCATGGGAATGTTGTGCCCAGGGATTAAGCTGACCAGCAAGGGAACACTGAATTTTGCATACTGTGACAGGATTATCAGAAAAGCTTGCTGTGTGGCATATCTGGAAATAAACAGGGAAACCTTTTCATTGAAAAAGAAGTTTTTCTGCAGCCTTAATAATAGAGTGGATGGCATGAACCAGAATCTCCCCCACACCATTCCAGCCTTGCGGTCACATTGTGATGGCTGATTCTAGGTCCCATTTGGAGCAGAATGTGTGGGAGGAGCACAGAGTGTATTACAGTAGATTGAGCATGATTCCAAGGGCTCCTGAGAAGCAAAGCAGGCGGCCGCCAGCACATCTCTGGGTAGATGTAACTGCCCTTAGAAATACCCTAATATGGGGCCAGCAGGTGGCATGGTGGTTAAGGCGCTGGACTCCCACATGGCCAACCAAGGTTCAAACCCTGGATCTGGCAGCCTGAAAATCACTCTGGGTACGTGTGCATGCATGCCCAGAATCCCAAGAGGAGAATGGAGAAGGGATTACAGTGTGGCCATATCCCCCAAGGGGCGATTTCTCACTTTCCCTCTCACTGTCTCTCTGGCTCCAGTGAGTGAAAACACCCTATGGCAAAAAAAAAAAAAAGAAAAGAAAAAAGAAAAAAAAAAGAAAGATCCCGTGTGTGCTATGTAGGGCAGGTTAAGATTTGGTGCTGCCTCCACAGGATAGCTCAAGGCTGCTAAGCCCTGCTCCTCCTGCAGCTAGAGTGATCAGCCAGTACTGGGGCCAGCTAACTTCTTGTTTCTATTCAGTTCTTTCTAAGCAATTAGTGGATACAAGCTATCACACCACAGAACACCAGAACACAACAGCCCTGCTTGGCCAGACTTCCTCTTCCATCTCCTGCCAGGGGAATGTGAGTCTGGTAGAAAGTGACACACAGCTCTCCTTCTGCATACTGTGCCCCGCTCATCTTACAGTCTCAGTCGTAAATGCAAAGCCAGGGCATCCCCATGAATAAACTTATTTCTGCTTGAGCTGTGTGTAGCATGTCATGCTTGAATCCTTGCAACATCTCTGAGAGGGCCAATGTCTCCATTTTATAGCTAGGTAGGTAGAGCTCTGCTAGCCTAGGCAGCTCATCCTGGTCCCTCAGTGTCCAGATGCCCCCTGGCATGGCAGGCACTGGAGTGGCGTCTCCACACTGTCCAGTTTTGGAAAACCCAGTGGTAGTGGCCTCCTTGCCGAGGAATCACAGGTGAATGATGAAGGAGCCAACTGATTTTTCTGCAGCCACCAGCACTGTCCTGTGCTACCCTACCACCTTAGGGCCCAGATCAGCCTGGCTGGTAGAAACACTCAGAAACTTTGTTGGGAGAAGAGTTAAATATGTTGAAATAAGCCTGGCCCTCACAAAAGAGGTGGCATTTCCACCCGGTACGTTTATGGAAATACTTGCTGAAGGAAAGCAGCCACAACATTGTGCATGTTTTTAGGAGGAGAATGGCCAGAGTGTCTTTAATTCACTGTTTACCCGTGAGAATTACTCCCAGGAGTAATCCTGCAATAAAATCTTCTTGGTCTATGAGAATAGAAAGAAATTGAATCAAAAGACTCTATTTCCACTTGTATTTATTCAGTCTGGGAAATTCAGTGGGCCGGAGCATTAGTATCAGCAGGGGATTCCTTGCTCCTAGCGTTAAATTACTGTCATAATCGCTCAATTATTTCTTCCTTGTACTGTTTAAAATAAAAATCCATCACATTCTATGTTTTTTTCTAGCATTTATTAGGTTGAGTGTTTAGGAAAATCAATTATAGTCAGTCAGGCATGAATTGATGAATGTTCTTGTAATAATTGTCAGTTGTTAAACTGAATGTACTTTCTCTTTTCACCCCTTTTCATTTCCTTCAGAGGGCAGAGGTGGCGCAGAGAGAGGCGGAGACCTTAAGGGAACAGCTCTCGTCGGCCAACCACTCTCTCCAGCTGGCCTCGCAGATCCAGAAGGCGCCGGACGTGGTGGGTAGCCCCAGCCCTCAGGGACTCTGCCCGCCTCGCGTCTGCGCTGTCAAGTTACAGATGCTGTCTTCTTTTTTCTTTGAACGTTCCTCTTTGAAATACTATTTTAACTAGTCCTACTTACTTGGTGGTGACTGCTTTTAACAATATGGGGCTGAAACTTGTCAAAGTTGAAGGAAGGACTTTGCAGGTCTTGTGTGGGTGCGCCATGGTCAGCGTAACGTCCTAACCATGCACTCACGTGATCGTGAGGCACGATCCCAAAGAGGCCTCCTCCCAACCAGGCCCGGGAGTGGTTGCTGGTGTAGGGTGAAGACCTCACCTGGAACTTCTCTGGAACATCGCAGGGAAATGGAGGGCTTGTCATTCCCCTGGTTGTGTCCTCCCAGGGTGAGCTGGGACGACCAGGGAGGTAATAAAAGAACCAGCTCTGAGTTCACGAAGTAGCTGGACTCCCACCTGAGAGTAGGCGTCCAGGAGGCGCAAGGCACAAACCGCAGTCCTTTTATCACTCGATTTTTCTAAAATTGACAAAGCTAGCTCTCAACCAGAACTTTCCCAGCTTGACCAAGGTGGCTTTAACTGCCAGTTTCCAGACTGTCTCAGGGCTGTGTGGCGACAAGGAGCAGCGTAGAAGCTAAGGGCCTGTACGTTAGAGCCATAGCCAGGTTCAGGCCACAGCTCTGTGGTCTGTTGGCTGGCACCTCAGACAAGCAGCTTAACTGCCCTGAGTCTTGGTTTCACCGTGTGTAAAAGGGAGGTTTTACAAGCACTTAGAAAGTTACGATGAGCAAAGAGCTTCGAACAAGGCCTGGCACATAATCAGACCTCCGTAAACCTGGGTCATGGATCTTCCTGTGGTTGGCACTGTAATCGCTGATCCCCTGTGACTACTTCACTTACAAACCTCTGTTTCCTCAAAGTACAATAAGGACCAAGTGATCAGAAAGTCCCTTCAGCTCTAATAGGCTGTGACACGTAGGTGGCAGGTAAGGGTGCCCTTTTATTTCACAAAGCCTCACCGAACCCGTGCAGTGGGCTCTGTGAGAACCATGAGGAAGAGACTCACCCTTCAGAGAGAGGGTGTAGTTTCATCGGAACACCTTGCCGTCGTGACAGGCTCTCCTGTCACTTGGACAGCCATTGTCCCTCCGAACCCATAAAACAGACTCTTGGCATCTCTTTATATAATGAGGAAATAAAGGCTACATGTGTGTGAGCACCTTCCCTAGAGACAGTCAGCAGTTGAGCCCAGGACCCTCCTGGGGCCTCTCACACCCCAGACCGGGGCTTTTAAATTCTCCCCCAGGAATGAATCTAGAGCCAAGTGTTAGTGTTAGGACCCCCCCCCCATTAAAAGTGGATTTTTAGTTTTCTTTCTTTAAATGGACATTGAAGTGTTTCAAGATAGAAAAGATTCCCATTGAAGGGGCTGTTACATCCTTTGTACTCCCTGAACTGGAGTGCATCATTTTAGCTGAAGTGCCCCTTGGCTCTGTTACGGTTCCCTCATCTGAATTTAGATGGTTGGTGCAGCAGCATGGCGGAGGCGGGAGGTAGCCCCCCTGGATGGGGTCAGCAGCTTCTCCTGAATTCTGTGGTTGCACTTGGTACTGTAGAGGAAGCCGTCCGTTCCAGTGCATCTGTGCAGAGCTCCGGAGTTCAGTGTTTTGATTGAAAAGAATTCTGGCACCATCCTGGACTGCTACAACCAAAACATTTCAGAAGGAAATTAATGTTTTTGCAGGTAGAGTAAGTTGTGGGTCCTAGGGGTGCTTAGACACTTCATCATCGGTTAAGTGCAATGTTTACATGGCACCAGCTCAGACTTCCAAGAGCGGCCCTGCCGGGGCTCCCCTTGGGCATGTGTTACCGTGTAGTTGGTGACTTTCAGCTCCAGCCAGTTGGGGAGCGAATACAGGAACCGGGGCCAGCAGAAAAATGGTCTGTTGGGCTTGGCTGGCAGAGCTCAGCAGGGAAACAGTGGGCTATAGATCTTGCAAAGGCCAAAACCAATCCCTGTGGAACCGCCAATTCTAGAAGGCAGGCAGCCCCTCGGCAAGTCCCTGCTTCGGGCTAGCCATGCTGCATTTTTTTCACTTCTTCCTCTAACAACTGTTAGAGGAAGATTTGGTTGTTATATAATTTTACAGGTAAGGAAACTGAGTCTCAGAGGAGTTGAATAATATGTCCAAGGTCACACAGCTAGAAAATGACCACACTAGGATGTAAACCTAGCTTTGTCCTCCTGAGAAGTCCACTCTTCCCTTTATTCAGTGACAGGATAGATGAAGGTCCTTTGAGAAGTACTTGCAGACAGATGACAGTTGAAGCTCTTGTGCACCACACCAGGCCAGCTTTTTGAGCCTAAACCAACCACAATATTGGAAAAAAACACCTGTTGACCATGTGAATCTGTCAGATTAATGCCCCTAGTAGGCCCAAGTCGACATTTCTCTCTGGATGGTAGCAGGAACCAAGGAGGCGATAAAAAAGGGTACCCAAGTACCTGTGTCCTCGCTTGGGCCTGAGGCTTACCATGAGCTCACGATGGTTCTCCTCCTAAGGAGTGATGGTCTCCTGTCTTATCTATGTCCAATATGAAAATGGCTGCAGGAAAGGAAATCTTGATCTTGCTAGTTCCAGCCTCCTCATTCCTGTCTCAGTAGGACTTAGCCGTGGTTTCGGATGCAGAGTAAGATGATCTTTTCTACCTTATTTCCAAGGTCTGACTGCTTTGGGGTACATTATCTCATCTCATTTAGTTTACATAAGACCACAGTGATTTTTGCTATGTCACAAATGGTGGATTTGTAAATTTAGTTCCTAAGAATTAAGGAGATGTGCCCAGGGTCCCCTGGTCAGCTCGTGACCAGGGAAACGTGTCCTCAGGATGGAGCCAACAGCCCTCTGGGGTCTGCCCACTCCAGGTGTCTGCCCAGCACCTGCACCACTGCTCCCTGACACATTAACTTGCCCTCACCCATCGTAGAGCCCAGATCACCTTCTAGCTTGTTTAACAGACTCCGAGAGTGGGAATTCATGGCTGGCATCCCTCAGGATGGACAGTTTTGATAACATGAGGTAAATTGAGTGTCGTGGTTCAGCCTGTACACACCGGCAGATCCCTGCACATCACTGCCATTGCGCACCTTCCCTGCCACAGAACTTCCGGGCTCCTCAGCTGCCCTTGGGAGCGCTCGGCATCAGTAGCCAACATGGCTACCCCTTTACAAGCTGCCTCAGTGCCAGTCTCTTCTTGTGCCCTGCTCCCTGCTCCTTGCAGCCTCAGCCACCCCTCCTTGGTATACCCCACCCTTTCCGACGCATTCACTCTGTGATGGAACCCCACTTTCTCCTAATAGGCTCCTGCCAGCACTTCCAAGCTGTGCTCATCTCTCCCTCTGGCTTACCCTGTCTTCCTCTGTCAGACTCTCACTCCTGGCACTGCTTGGAGGACTCATCAGAGCCTCCACAGAGCACCTGATGTGCCCTGCCCTGCCCTGCCATCTGGGAAGCGCTTTCCAAACTCCCTGGGGTGAAGGATGCTTTTTCTTTTTTTCTTTTTTTTCATTTCCAATCTGTTGCAGATAGGTAGTTTTATAAAAGACAATAAAAATGTCACCAAGTATCAAACTGCTATAAAGTCTAAACAACTCTCAATTTCGCTACATGGCAGCAACAGCTCATGAGCTGGCAGCAGTCAGCAGAGCACAGGCTGAACACAGCCGGCCTGGACAGCTTGTGCCTGTGAACAAGCCGGCAGGAGACGCTCATTGCACCCAGGACACATGCACATCTGCCAGAGGTCAGGGCAAATGCACAACCTGCCATAGTGTCATACAGATCAAGGCCGTGGGGAGGAGTCATTTCTTTGCACACAGACCTTTACAGTGGTAAATGGTTAAAGCCTTAATTTCTCAGGAGGGAGATGTGAAAAATTACTTCCCTGGGTGACTGGCTGTCCCCAAATGTGAAAACTCTGTGACAAACACATCAAGCAAGGAGTGGCCTGGCCACCCCTGCCAGCTAAGGTCACGGCTAACACTCTCTTTCCCACCGCAGTATAGGCACGATGCAGACTTGAAGCAGGTCTCTTCAAAGTGGGGGACAGCGTCGAGGGTGCTGGCTTTCCGCTCTGCACTAAGAGCTGCCTCAGCTCTCTGCTGTCGTAGACCCCATGTAACCCTGGCCCCCCACCCCTGTCAGTCATGCTCTGGAGTACTTGCTGCACAGAACAGTTTCTAGAACCGCGCGGGAGCCGTGGTTGCTTTTCAGACTTTAACGAAGTACTGCCTTATTTGTTGGGAAGTGGGATTATCAATTTGACTTTTTTTAATGCCTATTCTCTATTTTACATATTTGCTACAATGAGCATTTGAGGCAGGGAAAGTTGGGGGGGGGGTAGAAAATTAATTTTTTTTAAATCAGTTGTCCTGAGTGAGATTCTAAGCAAAGGAACATCTAATATGCAGTCTTCTATATCTCTTAGCTGTTTTTTTTTTGGGGGGGGGTTGTTTTTTGTTGTTGTTGGGTTTTTTTTAGAGGTTTTTGCTACAGGGCACGAGCGCTCACCGGACAGATAGAGAGAGACAGGGAGATAGAAAGCGAGAAATCAACCCCCAGGGGGGATGGCCACGCTGCAATCCCTTCTCCTCCGTTCTCCTCTTGGGATCTTGGGGACGCACGCTCACACATGCCCGGCGTGAGTTTAAGCCGCCGGGTCCGGGACTCAAACTGTGGTCGACTACATGGGAGTCCAGCGACATAGCCATTACACTAGCTGCTGGTCCCTCTCTTAGCTGTTTTTTAAAATGTTGACTCAATATATGAAATAATACCTCAGCTTCTGGATCATTTAAAAATGAATCCAAAGAACATCGAATCCCACCTTGTGATAGTGCTCTAGCAGCATTGCTGGCACCTTCCTCTGAGTCGCCCTGTTTGCCATTCCCCCGGTGGGAACACTCTTCTCCACCTCTCAGCAAGTCACTCCTCCAGATGTTTGCTCACATGTCAGTGTCTCAACGGGTCTTTCCAACCCTCCTATTAAAACCCTCGCTGCCTCTCGCATGCCCTGCTCTAGTTTTCCTGTAGCATTTATCACCACTAGCATACTCTTCATTACTGTAAATGTATTTAATGTGTCTCACCCTCCCCACCCGTCCCCATAGACCCTAAGCATTGTGGAGGCAGGGACTCCGTCCTCTTGTTCACTGTGAGCCTGGTCCATGGTGGATATTTGTCTAGCAGTAATATTGTCTAGTAAATATTTGTCTAGCAGATGAGTCCTGATGGCAGCTAGCACATAGGTAGTAAGGTGGCGTGGGGAGGGCGAACGGTAGGTGGTGCCCAAGCAAAGACAGGACACTGCCTTACCATGCACTTACCTTCACATCCTCATATCTCTGTGCTTTCCACCTCGGTCACCAGCATAGACAGCCCCAAGCCAGTGCAGTTTTGTCATTTCTTTTCTCCTTCCCAGGAGCAGGCCATAGAGGTGCTGACGCGCTCCAGCCTGGAAGTGGAGTTGGCCGCCAAAGAGCGGGAGATCGCCCAGCTGGTGGAGGATGTGCAGAGACTCCAGGCCAGCCTCACCAAATTACGTGAGAATTCGGCCAGCCAGATCTCCCAGCTCGAGCAGCAGCTGAGTGCCAAGAACAGCACGCTCAAAGTAAGGCCCCAGGGCTGGTGGGCACCCCCAGGGACACAGGGGAGGGGGGCTGGATACCATTTGCACTCACTTGCACAGACCCTGTCTTCTTGGAATGGATAGTAAGTATGGCATCCTTGAACATCTGTAAGGTGGCTTAAGGCCCGTGGCAGGGAGACTGGATTCGAACACCTGTCAGCTCTTGTATGAGCAGCTTTTTACTTTTTTTTTTTAATACAACATCTCACCATGTCACAGTCTTCCTGCCTCATCCTCCCACCTAGGCCTACAGGCACATGCCATTGCACCCAACTCTTTTTAGGCGGAATCATCATGTTGCCCAGTCCAGCTTTGAGCTCACAGTCCTACTTCAGCCTCCCGGATTGCTGGGACTGCAAGTGTGTGCCACCTTGCCAGCCTTTTAGGTTGGAATGGCTTGGAACCCAGGCCTCCTGTGTGGTTCCAGCCTACAGTGCAGTGTCTTAGCTGCACGTGCCCTTCCCAGCTAGGCCAGCATTTCCCTCTTTTTTTTTTTGGAGGGGGGGAGGATTTTTTCGCTATAGGGCGCATGTGCTCGCCAGACAGACAGAGAGAGACATAGAGACAGAAAGCAAGAAATCCCCCCCCAGGGGGGATGGTCACGCCACAATCCCTTCTCCATTCTCCTCTCGGGATCTTGGGCATGCACGCACATGCGCCTGGTGTGAGTTTTAAGCCACCGGGTCCAGGACGCGAACCGTGGTCGACTACGTGGGAGTCCAGCGACAGAGCCATTACGCTAACTGCTGGTTCCCAGCATTTCCCTCTTAGTGGCCATTCCTTGCATGCAGCCCAAGGGTCTCTAGCACTTGGTAGAAACACCTGTCTGCTCATGTCTGCTCACTTCATTGCTTCACCAGCTGAGAACTCAGCAGATCAAGAACTTGGTGTTCCCCCGGAGACTCTGTGTGCCCTTCGGTTTGGGTGTAGAGTGTTTGTCCAAGTCACAGGCCGTCCATATCGATGTGCTTTAGTCTGTCTCTGCTAGGCTTTCCTGGCTGACTGAGGAGGGCCCAGTGCATCAGAACTCTATCTCTTCTAAGGTCGTGTCTGAGCTCATGACCTGAGTGATAGTCAAATTTTTTTGACTGTCCCAAATCTTTTCACTTAAGCCAAAGCCACACCCCGAGGGCCCAAAGATTGGCATTGCCTCAGGGTAAGAAGCTTTCCTGGCAGATTCATTAGGCAGCCTAGCAGAAGCTAGACCGTCTTGGTTTTCTCCTAAATTTGTGTTTCAAATGCTGAACCCAGAACCTTTTTCATACATTAAAAATAATTCTATTTTATGGTGTTTATGATGCTTTGAAGTGAGTGTGACTTAAAGACAGTCTTAGAACCCTAGATTCACAGGTGTCAAAGTCAGAAGGGACTCCTTGGAGGTGTCATACTTGACAGATAAGAAGGCAGGACCAGGGAAGGGGCAGGTTCATGCTCCAGGCTTAAAGTCTTCCCTTCCAGCTAAAGGGCTTCCTACTCAGGTCTGTCCCTTCCCCTACTCTGTGTTTCCTCAGCGAGTGTGTAAAGGAATGAACAGCCACTCATTGGTATACTTGTTTATACTAAATAAAGTGGATCAAGTCTAGTTGGAAAATTTAAAAGAAAACTTTTTCTTATATGAAGTAATTCTATAATGATAGGGCCCAGCAGATGGAGTAGAGATTAAGGCAGTTGTATCCCACATGACCGACTGCACAGTTCAAGTCCCTGTATACCACATGACCGACTGCACAGTTCAAGTCCCACTGGGACTTGAAAACTCACTGGGCATGTGTGCATGAGTGTCCAAAATACTGAGAGGAGAGTGGAGAAGAAGGGATTTTGTCATGGCCATCCCTCCCAGGAAGTGATTTCTTGCTGTCCCTCTCTCTCTGGAAAGCATATGCCCTCTGTAGGAGAAAAAAATAAATAAATAAATGTCTAGAATGGTGTTAGACCTATTTTGATTATTTTGAAATTAAGATTTTCCTGATGTATGACCAAGTTTAACCCAGAACTCAATTTCCCTCCAGTCTGTCGCCAACAACCATAGTACCCACAGCTCTCCCTTGATCATTTCTTCTTTGCCTCTTGGGATTGGCTTTCATCCACTCTGAGAAGGTGCCCAGGTCTCTCTGAGGAGACGGCCCCACCACCTCTGGAGAGACGGTGGAAACGTGATCACAACTGTTGTCAGCTGTGGCATTATTTCTCCAGTATTTCTTCCTTTCTCGTCAGCTTACTGACAAGTACTAGTACTCATCTTTTATTTCTAGATTAAATCTAATTTTCTCATGTTATAACCATTTCTGACCCCAGCAATGGCACCATTATTAGATAATTTGCCTTCTCTCCTTTGTTACAGTTAAAGGGCACGACTCAAATATATCCTGCATATGGCTACGTGCAAGGGAGGCTGAAGACCTTGCATTTTTTATTATAGAGCAATTTCTTCTAAATCAGTTAAGGTTTTAATGTTTGCCTTTACAAAAAATGAAACGCAGTTTCACAAATTAATGTTCTTTATCCGTATCTTGAGGGAATTCTTTAATACTGTGCAGTTAATGAAACAATTCGGCAATACTTCTTCCAAAATTATTGCTCCCTTATCTTCATCTGATCTAATAATCAAAACATATCCTCTAGTAACAAGACTTCTCCGATTTTAATTATCTTAACCCCTTGTCGCCAGGAGTAGAGATTTCTCCGATATCAAACCCACACACAAAAGGCATCACGCGTCCCCAGATGAGCGCATCTGCCTCCACACCCCCAAGGAATAAGGTTAATTGAATGAGATACCTTCTCAGGTCTTTTTTTTTTTTTTTTTTTTTTCCTAATGTGTTTAATTTATAGTCTCAAATCTAAACTAGGCAGGGACACAATAATTAGGAAAATATTTTATGAATGAGACCCAGCAGATTGGCAACCTGATGCTTTTACTATGGGAAACTCCAACCCAAGAAGCAATACAAGTTAAGACTCAACTGAACTTGCCCTGGACCTTTTCCTTCTTAAACTTCGCTCATTTTGTTTTTTCCTTCTTGGGCTATGTTTTCCAGCTTCGGGGGACTCTAGAACACGTGGTGTCCTAGACTTGATGGTGGGGCTTGACTTGGGTTTATGGGAAAGGATACTGCAGCTTCCAGCTGGGCACTCAGCTTTGTGGAGCTGTGGGAGGTTTTGCCATGACCACTGACAATGGGTCGTTGATCTGTGAGACAATGCCAGTGTGTTTGATGGCAATTCATTGGAGAGGGGGCATCTCCCCTAGGCAGGAGGCTTAGTGGGCAGAATCTCTGGCCTTGAGCTTGCTGTGTTTTTCTACCAGTAAGCTCTAGTGGTATGCACTGTAATTGGATATATATTTGAGGACTAATTAATAGGCTTGCTTTTTTCTAGTGCTTCAAACTCCCCATCTTTCTGCCACTAGGCTTTCTTCCCTTCACTTAGACGTTTGGCTTGTTGTTCCGTGAGGATGCCTGACAGCTGCTTGTTTACCAGTCTCTCTTTGCTGGGGGTTCTGCTTTTTCCAGCAAAGTTCACATACCCTGGAACATCCTCTAACCTTTAAATAGACATCAAACCCGGCTCACAAGTGGGAGCTGTTTCTTCCTGCCTAGTCTGACAAGTGCTCAAGCACAGTGCCACTTGTAAAGGATAATTCTGTATTCGTAATTAATGAAATAACCTGACTGCCACGGCAAGACTGCTATTTCTGATAACCCTCTATTCTGCGGTCTTCTGTTGGAACACTTTAATATAGAGGCAGTATAATTAGGCAGTCACCTGCATTATACTCACTACAGCACAGAAAATAATGCTACCAATAGCTTCAATTTAAAATGGTTTTTTATAGGAAAGGCTAGCTAAAAGGATGCCAATCTCCCATAAAGAGAAATTTTATTTTTGAAAAATGCTAGAAAGATCAGTACCTCCCTGGGTGGGTGGGCACCTGTATTAGGATCACCTGGTTTTTTTTCCAAACCGCACAAGTTTCCACACACCTCCCCCTGCTCCCTGAGGTCCTAACACTTCCCATCAAACTGCTGTGGGAATATGTTGGGTCCTTCAGGGGCATCGGGGCAGGGAAGAAAGACTGATAACCACTTCTTAGCTCGTTCAATGCCTTTAATTTTAGATTCATTAAATATGCCTCTAGACTGCTTCTTAGGTTATGTAAGCTCCCTCGTCTAGCAGCTGATTGTAGCTGGCATTTGTAAACTACTCAGTCTCCAGCTCTAATGTCTGTCTTCCACCAACATCCACTGTGTGAGTAGGCAGGAGGTCAGGTCCAGGGTTGTCTAGCCTGGGTCCAACTCCAGGCTCCTGCATGTCTCTCTGTGAGCCAGCAGTGGATAAGGAGGGGAGACTCCCCTCTGGAGTAGCACAACCAAATTTCAACATCAAATGCCCCTTTCAGCAGAGAGCCCAGAGAACGAGGCTCCCACAGTGTTGTCTGGCAGAGTCTTGAGGGCACCATTAGCACAGATTTGAGGAAAAGGAAAGAGAAATGACCTCATATCTACCCAGCAACTATGACGAGGCCCCATGGGTGAATATCCTGGGTGGAGAGCTGCAAAAACGCAGGGGCCTCTGCTGAGGCCCCCAGTGTCCTCCCAGGATTGAGGTGACATCTAGCAGGCAGTAGGTCATAGGTGGGTTCCTGTAAAATCGTCAAAACCAGTTGACATTAGAAAAGCTTTAGGAGAGCTACCTATTTATGAAAGTCTACAGTGACCCTCTTGGAAAGACTCTTGCCCCTAATTACTAAGTAAATAAGTCCAGATATTTTATACACTTATTTGATAAGTCCCCAATTATGACACTCTTTGCTGACCATGACATCCAATGTCCATGTGGTCTACATAATGCACCAGGTCCCTCCTTGCATCATTCCATCAGGAATTGGTTCCCATCTGCCCTGGGTCTGGTTCATAGCTCCTGGAAGTTGGTGGTGTGGCACATTGGCCAGCGTTCCTCCTTTCCTATCCAGAACCCCACTTCCTCAGCCCTGTCGCTCCTTCTGCTCTAGCTTAGTCTGGGTGGGTGCCTGCATTTACAGTAAAACAGCAAGCCCTCCAGTGTCACCCTCACTGTCCCACAGCGTGACTCGGAGATCTGCCTTCTCATCATGCACTCTGGGCATCTCTATAGCACATACACAGCGTCCTCCCCTGCCTAGTACTTTGAAGGGTTCCAGGTAGACTGGGCACCAAGTGTCCCTGCCTTCTGCCCCAGGCCCAGCCTTAGTAGATCCTAGATTTATATAAGTGCTGTCTCTGTCTCAAGGAGCTGTGGAGACCATGTGTTCTTGTCTGGGTAGGGTCTCCATTCCACAGAAAAACGAGGCTTGCACTGCCAAGGCTCAGACCTCAGAGATGCAGTGTCAACTGAGAGCTGTCCTAAAACATCTGCCCTTAATTAGGGGGTCAAAGTGAGGCCAAAGGATCCCACACCAACACCCCTAGCCTGAGCTAGTGGGTCTTCAGACAGCACAACTGAGAACCTGGCTCTGCTTTCCTGCTCTGCAGATGCCATTGTACCCCCACAGACTGTTTTGTGGCAAAGAGGTATTGCTACTTGACCACTGACTGTGTGAGCCAGGAGACACAGCCCTTCCACAGGTCTTTGTCTCACTCAGTACTAGAGGTCCCTTTGCTGGTGGCTCGAGAGTACTAGGGACCATATTTTGAAACTTGACTGAGATATTATGGTTATCTTTTATGAACTGAGAGCCTTATCCACTACAGGCCAGGCATTTTAAATTAAATTTCCTTATTATTTAAGTCTTAGCTGGGATTTTTAAAAGATTTATTTTATTTATTTAATTCCATTTGTTAGTATTATTTTTTTAATTTGACCAGAGAGAAACAGAGAAAGAGAGAGAGAACAGGAAAGTGAGAAAGCAAGCCTCCAGGTCTGGGACTTGAACCGTGGTCAAGCACGTAGGAATCCAGTGCCTTTAACCACCACGCCACCTGCTGGCCACCTTAGCTGGGATTTTTAAGAACGGCAAAGAGAGCGTTCTTCCAGCACTCCAGGAAGCAGACGATGAGCACCTCCTGGTTCCGGGGACCACATACTACATGTGCTCTTGACCTTGTCAAAGGGCCATGGCGGGCTGGCATTCAGCAGCCTGCTCCTGCTCACCTGCATCTTCTCGCTATGCCCTTTTAGAACCCTAGCGGCTCCAAATCACCTTACATCTCAGCTGAGAAATGTGAGGCATAGGCTCAGCTGTCATCTGAGGTCACACTCAACCAAGGCGGGTCTGGGCCAACAGCCAGGTCTCTGACATTTGGCCTTATCTCACCTCTGTGTAAAGCCCATGTGTGTTCCTCAGACGGCACCTTTTTCAGGAAGATAACCAGTTCCCAGGTTCTGCCCTCATGGCATTGAAACGTGGTGCCGCTCCTGCTACTCGCAGCACTGAATGCCAGAGCCACTCCAGGGGCACACGTGTCCTTTCCCCAGGAATCTGCTGCCAGTAGTGGGGACTTTGGAGATGACGAACAAGGTGTGGAGACCTTCACAAATGGAGTCCCTAGTGATAGAGAACCAGTTAAATACAGTGTAGTCACATCCAGTGACACGCACCAGGGATACAGTACAGTGTGCTCAGTACTTTAAGCACCAGAACATGTATCGTTATCCCGATTGCGCAGCAAAAGAAACCAAGGTTTCAAGAAGTTAGGTCTTGTCCAGGATGTTGGCCTCCAGAGCCCAGGCTGGCAGAGAGCCCCAGTTTGGTCTCCAATCACTGGGGTCACACTTCCTCTGGAACCACTACGGATGGGTGGAGCTGGCCTTAGGTTTGTCGGGGTCTGCAGGGTAGAACCCCAGAAGAGTGGAGTGCGATATGTTTGTTTTGTTTTTTAGACAGGGTCTTATCACATCACAGTCCTCTCTTAGCCCCCAGGAGCTAGGACCATAGGCATACATCACACACCCAGCCCTTGTGGGTGGGCCAGGAATCAAACCCAGGCCTCTCCTGTGGCCTTAAACTGCCTATTTGCCAAGGCCTAGAACCCTAGTGATTTTTTAAAGGGGAATGGGGGTGAAGATAGCTGTGTCTGCAGAAGTATTGCAGTAATGAAATCAGGTTGTGAATATGGTTCTATTGTAAAGCTAAGCCCAGAATCACAGCACAGACCTGAGAAGAGTGATTTTTCTAGGGACACATGCTAGACCCCTGTCACCCTTCCCAGCTTGAGAGTCTTTGAAACTGGACTTTCTGGGATTCCAACAGGGAGTTTCTGATCAAAGAACTGAGCTGAGGATGATTGGTCTTTTTCCCATAGCAGGTGTTTTTAGCCTCAAAGGCCAGTGTATAAGACTTGTAGAAGCATGTGTGGACTGGCTGCTCTTTCCTGCCACCTCTGATGCAGCCTCGAGATGTGACACAGCAGGGATATTTGTAAGGAGACTTAAGTGCATCTGGGTTAGAGATTCTCTACAGGTCAGGATGAGCTTGTCTGGCGGCCTCCACCAGGCTTCCAGCCAGCCTGTCTGCACAACACAAGAAGTGTAAGGGGTTTTCCGAAGACGTCTTGGGTACATCCTAATACCACTGACCAGGCCCACCATCCTGGCCAGGTAGATGCAGAAACTTCAGTGGAAGCTGTTTAGCTCTCACTGAAAACCATCATTTCTAACTGAAGGAAACAGACTCGTCTTTTGATGGGGCCAGTCACAGGTCTTCAGAGAAGACCTACAGCCATGCCCTAGGGAAGCTGTCATGGTACTGAGCAGCAGTGAGAGTCCCAGTATCAAGGGCCCAGAGGTGCCAGTATCCATACCAGTTTTTGGCATTTTACAACCCTTTGAGTTATTTGCTGGCATCCCATTTTATAGATGAGAAGTTTATTAAGTAGCCCAAAGGCACTCAGCTTGTAAGTGACAGACTTAAACTTCAGGTTCTGGCCTCTGACCTTCAGGCACTGAGTCCTCCACCTGTTCCTCTGCTCTTCCTCCCTTCCATTCTCTGGATATGCCCAAGTGTACATGTGTTCCATATCCGACTTTAGCAAACTCCACAGCCCGAAATGTGTTCCGCATCCCAACACACCATAGGTAATCTTCGCAAGGGAAGGCTGGCACATTAGTACTTCCTGCTATTTGACTATAGGGAAGAGATGAAATAATCACTCCTTTACGAGCACCTTCTGAGAATCTTTTGTAGGAAAATGAGTGCCTACTACCCCCTGTTCGATTATGACTGAGAAAGCCATTATAATATATAAAGTTGGCAAGAGGTCTTGAAAAGGAACTAGGGCAGAGCAATTTTATGCAGTGGAAAATGCACACCCAAGAGCTTGCTAGCAGAAGCAGCAGAAACGGATGGGCTAAGGGAGTTAAGTTTAGAGAACACCTGACTTCATGAAGCAGCGAGCAGGTCAGGATTCAGATGGGCATTGAGACTGGTGGGCCAGATGGGTAGCTCCTCCTCAAATTCTAGAATGTTCTCAGTATTCCACTTTAAACTGTGGACTTAGCTATGTCCAGTCAAATGGAATCTATAAAGGTGTCTAGATGGGAAGGCACTAGGGGTTCACAAATTAAAGTTTGCTCACCTCAGCTTGGAAACATGCTGAAGCCCCAGAACACTTTCCAGGGCCTTTGTTATTGATAATGAGCTGCCTTATTTTCTCCAACGATCTCTCTTTTGGTGTGTGTGTGTGTGTGTGTGTGTTGGGGGGTGTTTTCAAAGCAAACTAGTCACAAAACACCTTCCTAGAAGAAAAACCCTTCTACTGATGGCCCTGTGCCAACAGCTCTTCCAGGCAAAAAAGCCCTGCAGGGCTGTGGCTAAACACAGCTCCCGAGTACCTCTGAGCTCACAGACTGCTGGACTCATGGGAACATCGTCATCCTTGGGAACAGTGCCATATGAGTCACCTGTGCTGGCTGAGGCCCTGCTGCCAGGGATCCCTGGGGGGGAGCAGCAGCTCTTGGGCAGGGCCCTCTCCCCAGGACTCCAGCAGGCAGTTGGCAAATGTCAGCATCTGGGAGTTCCGGAGGGCAAATGCTGTCTTCCCGATGCCTACTTGATGGCAGTGCTCAATCTTACCAAGGCATTGATAACCAGCTGTACAGGTCAGCTCGCCTACCATGTTTTGTGAAGAACCACAGGCTGCTTCTCAAACACCAGGAGAGCTTCTCTTCCTCCAGTTTGCTGTTTCGTGCTACTCTTTGCAAAATGGACTTTCGTCTTTCTGTTTTCTGCTTTTTTTTTTTGAGAGATTTTCACTATAGGGCGCATGCGCTCGCCAGACAGAGAGAGACATAGAGACAGAAAGCGAGAAATCACCCCCCAGGGGGGATGGTCACGCCACAATCCCTTCTCCATTCTCCTCTCGGGATCTTAGGCACGCACGCACACGCGCCCGGCGCGAGTTTTAAGCCACCGGGTCCAGGACACGAACCGTGTTCGACTACGTGGGAGTCCAGCGACATAGCCATTACGCTAACTGCTGGTTCCCTGTTTTCTGCTTTTGTGGAGCTATTTCCCTCTGCTTCCGTCGAGTTTTATGTTATCACCGTCCTTTGCTGTGCGTGTGCAGATACTTGTTTCCACTCTCATGCCAGACCAGATGAGCGGAGGACAGAAGATGGCACCAGTGTTCTCAACTAGTCGTTTTTGCGGGTTGCTCCCCTCTCAGGGACAGCTGGATGTTTTACAGGGAATGAGGTCAGTGAAGTCTCTCAACCTATTTTCAGACATGGCTACTAATAAAATTCCTCTCCATTTTCAGCAACTGGAAGAAAAACTCAAAGGCCAGGCTGACTACGAAGAGGTGAAGAAAGAACTGAAGTAAGTTTGAAGATGCTGTGGCCCTTCACTCGTCGGGGCTGTACTCACTAGTGCCGTTGTAGCAAGAGCAGCCCGGCTCCTTGCACTCGGTCTCAACAGCTGCACAGAATTTCAACCTGGGCTGCACCACCGTGCAGTGTCCTCGGCTCCCCAGCGCAGTGCCTTTGCATTCACACCTGTCTCTCAATGCCTTGGACTTATGACACTTCATGCATTTAAAGTACAGTCATGCGTCACTTAATGACAGGGAGCACATTGGGGTGTACTTACCTAAACCTAGGCCCAGCCTGCTGCACGCCTAGGCTGTATGTGATAGCTGATTGTACTCTTAGGGGACCACGTCATACATGTGGCTCATCGTTGACTGAGATGTTACGCAGTGCATAACTGTATTCCCATATGCACAGTCAGGGCAGAGACTGCATTTATGGAAGTTTTTAGATTTGAGCTTGTTTTTCAGCTATAAATTTCCCAAGCAAAGCAGAGGAAGAAAACCTTCTCTGATTGAAAGAGCGTGTATGGCCTTACACTAACCTGGCCTCCTGGACTCGGGTCTCCTTCCCCTCGCCTCCGTTACCTGCACATGAGGCCATAGCTGAAGTCTGACAGCCCTTCAGTGCTGATACTGACATTCTGGGACTCCAGCTCCCAGCCTACCCTCCCACCCAACTCCCAACTTTTTTTTTTTTTTTTTTTTCCCCCCCCCCACCCCCCACCCTTTTTTTTTTTTTTTTTTTTTAATATTTACTATTATCTTTTAATTTGACCAGAGAGAGAGAAAGGGAAAGCAAGGCACCAGGTCTGGGACTCAAATCAGTTAGCCATGTGGAAGTCCTGTGCCTTAACTACTACGCCACCTGCCGGCCCCAACTCCAACTGTTTACTCCAACCCCTTGCCCTGCCCTTGGGCCTCTGGAGCTCCCAAGCTCTGGTCTCTACCTGTGTCTCAATCCTGCAGCCCAGGGTCAACCTCTATATGGTGTACACAGTTCCCCCTTGATCTTCTGCCATTCTGTCTCCCTGGCTCCGCTTCCCTCATTCCCATTTATCAAACATGGCAAAAGAAAGTGGCTGCAGCATGCCTGCTGGCCTGCCGGTCCCCATGTTTCCATCACTGCTTGGCTGATTCAGTACTTCCCAGGGTTCTTTCCTTGCCTTCATCACTGGCCCCAGCCCCAACTGTCCCCTGATCTCTTTCTGCAGACTCCCGGTCTCCTACTTGATGGTGGGACAGAGCCTAGCAGCTTCCCTGTGCCTGGCATTCCCCCTGGCCTTGGGCTCTGCCTCCTCTCGCTCCACCTGGACCTCAGTCCCTCCCTACGCTCTCCTGTTATTCATCGACCACATCCTCCCTTGCTGATGTTTTCCATTTTTCCTTTAAAGACAAGCTTATACTCACCCACTGTGCTGTTCTTCGTACTCCTCATTCCATTCCCTTGGGCCTGCTACAAAAGCTCACTGGACAGCCTCTGTGACCTCAACATGTCCAGCAGCCTCCTTGGTCAGGACCTCCTCCCTGAAGAGCAGACCTCACCAGCCCCCTCAGTCCCTGTCCCCACCTGCTCTCTGCCTGAGCATCAGGCTTTTCCAGCATCTCCTGGGACAGACCCCTAAGCCTCTCTGCATGCTCTGTACACTCCCCTTCCCCATTTCCACACTAGAACTATTTATTGTCATTTGGTTAGTTTCCTATACCTGCCTTCTCCCAAACTTCTCTGTCTTTCTTTTATTCTTCAACCAAAAGAGAGAGAGAGAAAGGAATAGAGAAGAAAGAAATTGGGCCTTCTCCTTGTTTTACGCCAGAGAAACCTGTTGTGAAGGCCTTGGCCCAGGCCTCTCCCCCCTGCCCTGGGAGTTGGTCCTGCCCCCCCGCCACCCTGCCCAGCTGCACACTGCTCTCAGCCTCCCCTAGAACTGCCTTCCCCACCCCCGTTGTTGCTCCACATCTCACCGGCTGTCTCTTGCTTCTGTAAACTGCTGACCATGCTGCCACATACACGTCTCAAAGCTCCCCTGGGTGGCTTTTCTTCTAAAATGTTCCTGAATCCCACTTTCTGGTAAATCGAGTGCCATCCAGACACAAGCCTGCATCCCCTGCCCATCCTCATAGGTCCCTACTACTGCCCCAGCAGGCCGTGCCATCGTCACTTCCCCTCCCCTGGGCCCTGCCCACCACAGTGGTCTTCAAAATACCCTGCCCCTTCAAAGCCCTTCTCAGACACACTCATGAAACCGAGGCCCTGTCTCCGCCCCAGTGAGACATCACTCCTGCCCGGTGTCCCAGCAGGTTCTCTTCCAACTGTCCACTTAGATTTTTGTCTGATAACCTGGAAGGGCCTGTAAACTTCATGGAGTGAGGATCGGGAGTGGTTCTGATGCTCCTCAGTGCCAGGCGGATAACCAGGAATCATTGGTAAATATTGACTAAGTGAAGAGACACTTGATGTCTTTAGTATAAACTTATAGACTCAATAAATCTTTTAGTACACAATCCTAAAAAAGATACCAGACAAGAGACAAGAACATAATTGTGAAAAATGTGAAGCCCACCAAGAAAAGACGGTTTGTCTGGGTGGCTGTTAACATCTCTCCTGTGAGACATGAAGGGGTCCAGAGGTCTTTTATTATTATTTTCACAGCATACTTGAAAGTGATGTGGCTGGCCCACATCAGTGCCACTTCGTCCCTATTTTTGTTAGCTTGCTTGATGAGGACCCCTGCAGAGTTTGCACTCTGTACTAAAAGAGGTCAGTCCCAGGACAGAGAGCAATACCCCACTCCAGACACTGGGCCCTTTGCCTGCAATGGCATACTTTACACATCATGGTGGGGGTTTTTTGTTTTGTTTTGTTTTGTTTTTGAGAGGTTTTTGCAATAGGGCGCGTGCTCTCGCCAGACAGACAGAGAGAGACAGAGAGATAGAAAGCAAGAAATCACACCCCCGGAGGGATGACCACGCCGCAATCCCTTCTCCATTCTCCTCTTGGGATCTTGGGCATACATGCACACGCGCCCAGCGTGAGTTTAAGCCACCGGGTCTGGGACTCGAACCGCAGTCGACTACATGAGAGTCCAGCGACATAGCCATTACACTAAGTGCTGGTCCCTATGATGGTGTCTTGATGATGTTTATGTAGAGCTTAAAGAAGGGAGAGTTGGAGCCAGCAGGTGAAAAGGTGGTTAAGGTGCTGGACTCCCACATGGTTGACAGAAGTTCAAGTACCAGACCTGGCGGCTTGCTCGCTCACTCGCTCTCTCTCTCTCTCTCTCTTCCTCTCTCCCCTCCCCCTCCCTCCCTCCCTTGAGTACAAGTGCTCTATAGCAAAGTAAAATAATAATAAATAAAATTAAATAATTATTTTCTTAAAGGGAGGACAGAGGGCTAAAGTCACAGCTTCAGGAATACTGGAAGCATCCAGTCAACTTGATGCCTGCGAGTTGTGAACCTCACTGTGTAGCCCATTCAGACTTGTTTTGCCCTGCATGGTGTTTAAAAGGAGCCATTAAGTGAGCTCCTTGGGGTCCCTTTTCTCCCTGGTGGCTCACAGAAAAAGAAATATTCCCAGCAAAAAGCTTGCAAAAAACACTAGTTTGGACGACCTGAATTCACTTAAATCTGGGCTAATAAGGACGGTGGAGACACAAACCCTTCTTGCTACACCTTTCTTTGGTACTCCTTTCCTGACCTGGGGCTGCAGAGGAGGTGGACTTGCCTCGCTTTTGAACCATCCAGGTGTGAGGCATCACACTTTGCCTGCATCCCCAGTCCCAGGGTGGGTGCCAGTTACCCAGTGAGCTTTCGGGTGCATGGCTGCAGGGAAGGAGATGGTTCCTCTCTGACTTGCTTGTTACAAGCTTTCCATTCCCTTTAAGCGTTACAAATGCATTCCACTTGCAACAATGTTATGTCTGTATTAAACTTTAAAATTACACTCTGAACAGACCTGGTGTGATTCCATATGGAATGATTTACATGCTGGGCAAGAAACTTTTGCTAGCCAACTGCTAGTTGAATAGTTATTCTAGAAACATTATCAGATTATACTACTGCCAGGGAAGTTGTTAAAGTTGTCAGTTCTTTGGTTCCTGGAGAGCAGGAAATTGTAACGTTAATGCTTATTAGTGTGGCTGTTGTAGGTCTAAGTAGAAATAACCGCTCTGTCTTGCTCTTTCAGTATCCTGAAGTCCATGGAGTTTGCACCATCAGAGGGAGCTGGGACACAGGTACAGGGTCTCACTTTGTTTCCGGTATCAGCATCAGTGCCACTTCCCATTCTCGGCGCTTAGATGAGGCTTCATTTACAGCTGAGGAGTAATCCAGAACTTTGAACCACGTGAATTGGTTAATCCACGTTCTCTTTCATTTAAAAGAATCAAAAAGAGAAAAGTTCGTGTTTTCCCAACTAACTCAGTCCAAGTGAAACCATCATTTAACTTGGGCAGGTACTAAGAGTAAGAACACAGATAAAAACAGTTTCAAAGTGCATGAAAGATGAACCAAGTATGAACTGGCTCAGGAGCGTTGGGCACTGCCTTAGTGGCGAGGACAAAGGGGACAGGGTGGCATTGGGGCACAGTTGGTCCTTTGGTGGACTATTAAAATTGATGTCATGAGTGGAATCTCACTTTTGATGCCCAGAAGGCAGCTGACATCTTTGTGGCTGCAAAGAAAGAGGGGAGTTGTCTTTATGGTTACTTTTTGACAAGGTTTGTGGCTCGGCAACCAAACCTCTTGCCAAGTGAGCACAGGTTTAGACTGGACTGCTAAGTTTGAAGACAGAATGGGGACTAATTAATTCTTTAGCAGCAATGCACATCCAAGAAGGAAAATTACTCCAGTTGAAATGGATTCCTTTTAAAAGGAACTTGAATGTTTTCCCTGGGTGTGTTTACCATCCCCGGGGAAAATAAGCTTCGTATACCATGTTGGAATCAGCAACAGGTGGACAAAGCAAGGGTGGCAGGTCGGGCGGCCCAGAGTAGGTGGGTGGCCAGCCCGCAGTGAGCCTCGCTCTGCCCCGTCTAGGATGCGGCCAAGCCCCTGGAGGTGCTGCTGTTGGAAAAGAACCGCTCGCTGCAGTCCGAGAACGCCGCGCTGCGCACCTCCAACAGCGACCTGAGCGGTAGGTTGGCGGGGTCTCGGTGCGTTGCTTGGTTCGCTTCCAGGGATCAAAGAAGAAGGTGGACTGTGAGTCTGGGCTGATGCGTGGCAGGAGCATCATCAGTCCAGGAACCTGACTCGCGAGTGTTTGGTCTCCTCCTCACCACGCCTCTCCCCTCCCCTCCCCCACCCTGTCTAAAGCTGGATGGCCAGGTTCGTGAGGTCAGTTAGGGGCGGCGTCTCCAGAGATCCTGAGGGGGACAATTCAGAGGATGTTGGCTTTTCTGATCTTTTTCTGGTTGTGCTGCAAATAGACCCGGGTGAAAGTGGACTCGGCCTCTTTGGCGGCGTTTATAGGGGCTACTTAGAGGGATAGCCCATGCCCTCCCAGGCTCAGTGGAGCTTTTCTTCCTTTGTCAGGTTTTCTTGGGGATGCGTACCCCCATCCTTAGCCTTTCTTTGCTCATCCCAAAATGGTGGCATCATTGACTCTGCTTCAGGTTTGGCAGCTGGTAAACCGTGTAATGGTGTCTTGGGCTCCGATGACATTGCATTCTTAAAATGGGCGTGCCTTCGATCGAGTGGACTTGGTGCGGTGCTTTCGCCTCAGAGAAAGTGGTGTGAGAGAATCCGTTGGTCCTAAAATGTCAGTGTTTGCTGCTCCTCAGGCGGGGCCCTTCCGGTAATAGCTCGAATGCTAGAGGCCCAATAAGAGGCCCGCGACCTGTCAACTCTTTCCTGTGTGTGTTACCGGCTCCTTGTCACTGTAGGAGTTTGAATCTATGTCAAGGGGATTCTCCAGGCTGCAACGTACAAGAAAGGTGCAAACATGAATGCATGTTGCTTGTTTTGGGGGGCCTTGTTTGGCTGACTTACAAATTCAATCGAAAAATAAACCAACACACTTTATTGGCCCTTATAAAATCTGCACTTTTTTTCCCTTTTGTGGGGCAAACTATGCATTTGGTCTTGGTTTTTTTTCCCTTTTGAATCCCCCATAATGCATTCTGTTTGCCCTTCCTTGTAGGGTCAGCCAGGAGAAAAGGGAAAGACCAGCCTGAGAGTCGGCGCCCTGGACCTTTGCCGGCCTCCCCTCCTTCTCAGTTGCCCCGCAACACGGGGGAGCAGGCTTCCAATACTAACGGTACACACCAGTTCTCACCAGCGGGGTTAAGTCAAGACTTTTTCAGCTCATCCCTGGCAAGCCCCAGCCTACCCCTGGCTTCTACAGGAAAATTTGCACTAAACTCTCTCCTCCAACGACAGCTAATGCAGTCCTTCTACTCCAAGGCCATGCAGGAAGCAGGAAGCACAAGCATGATTTTTTCAACAGGTCCATACAGCACAAACTCCATATCTTCCCAAAGTCCATTACAACAAAGCCCAGATGTAAATGGCATGGCCCCATCTCCCAGCCAGTCAGAAAGTGCTGGGAGCGTCTCCGAGGGCGAGGAGATAGACACTGCAGAAATCGCCCGGCAGGTCAAAGAGCAGTTGATCAAGCACAATATCGGACAGCGCATTTTCGGACATTATGTCTTGGGACTGTCTCAAGGGTCCGTGAGTGAGATCCTAGCCCGGCCCAAGCCCTGGAATAAACTGACTGTTCGCGGCAAGGAGCCATTTCACAAGATGAAGCAGTTTCTCTCCGACGAACAGAACATCTTGGCTCTTCGCAGCATCCAAGGCAGACAAAGAGGTGAGCGGCATCGTGGGTTGGCAGCAAGTGTGAGACTGTCCCTGAGGCGTGTGTGCGTGCGTGTACATGTTTGTCTACGTGCGTGATGAAACATCTGTACATCGCATCAGGTAAAACTCTTCAGTTCTGCCATCTCCAGAGACCCAGGGTCAACCGACATGAGCTAAAGCAGTTAGATGTGGGAGATCGGGCCTTTGAAACACTCAGCACCTTGCATTTAGTAAACTCAGGATTTTAGTGCTGTGTACCAAACTGGAGGGAATTTCATGACGTACATTATCCGGTCATATCTAGTGTCCATGGGGCCAGCTGGCCGTGGGTGCTGGCCTCCGCAGGGAGGAGCACCTGTGTGCTGTCCGGCCCTCTAGCAGCAGTATCGACGGCGTGATCCTCACGCAGAGCTGGTTCGGTGGGGAGAGCGTATCAAAGACTCGCTCTGCTCCTCCCGCCTCAGGGAAGAGGGTGTGTTCCATGGTCATCTTACTTACAGGGTTACATTTCATTAGTCATTCGTTTAGCATTACAAGCAAAACATGCCTGCCTTGAGTAAAATACACAAAAGTTTTATTTAAACACCCTTCCTACCCCACCTTCCGTAAAAAGATCAAAAGTCAGTCACATCTATAATTTAAAGAACCCCTTCCCTCCTTAAGCATAGGGGATCGGTCTGCTACATCAGCAGGGATATAGAGAGGTGATTTTATAGACACAGTGGAAACACCCTGAAATTCAGATTCAGACAGAGAAGAGAGATGTTCTGAACAGCATCTATTTGCACCAAGAACATAGAGCATTTTATGGTGATGTTAACTGAAATTGAATGTCTTTGGATGATTAATGTGAGCTTTGTTCTGGGGGCTGGTGGGTGATTCACTTATAGGCAGTCCCTCCCTTTGGCCCTCTTGGCGTTGATGCTGAAAGCCGCAAGTTACGTTTGTCCAACCTCCTTTTGCAGTAAACCATGGCCTCTGCGGGCCAGTCAGCCAGGGCAGGGTGTCTCAGAAGTTTCTAGTAGCTCCCGAGTTGCACAGGAAGCACTGAGCCCTTTCTTTAGTGACTGGTGGCTCAGATTTCATGTCACACAGCCCATATCGTCAACACCACCATTCCCCTGATTGTTTTGTTCTTACCACACTTGTTTTTCAACAGAGAATCCAGGCCAGAGCCTGAACAGACTATTTCAGGAAGTACCGAAACGAAGAAGTGGGTCTGAAGGTATGTCGCAGGCAGGTGTCTTTCTTTGCAGTCAGTAACCTAGGAAGCAGCAGGTTCTTAGCTGTGCATTGGGGTTAAAACTGTGCAGTGTGATTCTGGCCTGGAACCTGATGGAAAAACAGAGCTAGTAAGTATAAAACAAAGCACGGGTCCAAGAACGCCCAGCCCCTTCTCCTGAGCTGCTCGCACTCTACTGAGCGCAGCCTCAGTGAGAAGGGCTATCACTCAGAGGAGGCCCCTCAGCCCCGATCCCAGCCCCCTTCAGATTCCAATTATGCTTTTCCCATTTTCTCAGAAGCAGGTGAAAGAATAACAGTTGTTGCTCTGAGAAAAATCAGGTGACCGAGTCAAACCAGATACTGCTGCTTCCTCGTACTTTTAACCCTGAAACACACCCAAGGTTCCTACAGAGTGGACAGATTCCAAATGTAATCGCTTCTCTTGTGGGTCTTGGCGAGCCGAGCCCCACCGCACTCCTTGGAGTTGCATCTTTAATGGGGCTTTGTCCCGGTGGTATACTTGTTTTTAAATGGTTTAATGTGACAGTTCCTATTTAGTAAGGTAGTGGAAATTAAAATATTAATATCTGGACAGCTTCCAGAAAGAACGGAGGCCAGCCCCTGGGCCCTAGTAGCTTCAGTGTATCTGCACATGTAGCTGCTCTGCAAAGCATCACCATGTGACTGTAAGAGTGACTCTTGTCCCTTAGGAATTTCTGCAGGCTTCTCTCCTCGTTCATAAATTTAAAAAAGGCAGTATGTGATAATAGAACCAAAAATGTTAAGTTAAACTTTGTGTCTCTTCACCTTGTGCATCCAAATCATTGATTGCTAATCAGCCTCAGCCCTCTGTTCCTCTTTTCCATTTGATCTGTTGGGGACACCAGTCTCCAACAAATGTGCAGAGCCTGAGTACAGTCTCAAGCCAAAGCGGTGGTTAGAGTTGCTTTTAAATGACTCATGAAAAACATTGCCTTTTAATCTTCCATCTTTTTTTATACTAAATTAAATGATGTATTCTCCCTGGTAACACGTGGGTCCAGCTCTGGTAAACATGAGAGCTTCTCCCACTGGCACAGTAACCCCTCCCATCAGGTAGATGTAGCGGACACTCCTACGCCGCCTCGGTACAAGTTGTGAAGTTGTACTCACAGCGGCCAGCCAGTGGAGGCCACGCCTGCCTCCTTACATCAGCAGCCTCACCTTGGGGCTGTTTATCAGAATGACATCTTCGTGCAGCTCTGAATTCTGTTTGAGGCTTGGGTTTGATGTCATCCCTGTGACTTCTCCCTGCAGGTAACATCACTACCCGGATCCGAGCCTCAGAGACCAGCTCCGATGAAGCAATCAAGTCCATCCTGGAACAAGCCAAAAGAGAGCTCCAAGTGCAGAAAACTGGTATGGCTTCTACTTCTTGGACCACTGTCTTTCAAACTTAATTAAAAGAATTGTCATGAGTGTTCTGGTCAGCAGTAATTAACTGCACTTTTTTTTTTTTAATAGAGAACATACAAGGGGTCTCTAAAAAATTCATGAGCTGTGCATGTTACGAAAAAACTACATATGGATTTCACCTTTTTTTGCACCAAAACACAAAATTATTTTGTTAATTCCATTTTCTGTTTGTTTGGTTTTTTTTTAATTGTCAGAGGGCACCAGAAAAAGATAGGGAGAGAGATGAAGAGGATAAAAGCACCTCCTCCAATCGGGTGTGGTCACACCACAATCCCTTGTCCTCCATTCGCTCATCCTGTCAGCATGTGTGTACATATACACACATGCACCTCAAATGTCTTTCAAGATGTTGGGACCAGGATTCAAACTGAGTCAGTCATGTGGGACCCAGCTCCCCTAACCACTGCTATGGAGTGGGACCTAATTCCATTTTTCCATGAGATTTTTTTGAAGTCTCCTGTATGATTTCAAGCATTTAAGAACATGCAGAGATGAGCAGGTCTGTGTAATCTACATTTTGCTAGTAGTTTACATTCTTACAATGCTAGCTTTGGCTGGAGAATGGCCCCCCGGCATGGAATCTCCTTCACTTAAATCAACCAGTAGTTCATATTACATATCCTTTAAATGCAGTATAGGCTTTTGCTGTTTGGT